TAATGTTTGATGATTTATGCATGATGTTATATGGGTTGTGAGGCGCTTTGCGTTGCCTTGTGTAGGAAAGGCGCTCTATAAATAAACGTTGATTGATTGATTGATTGAAATGGTTGAAGAAAGTAATGTGGCCACTGCCTACTACTTCTGATTGGTGTGCCGTTATGTCAATTAGTTTGTCGAAACAATGAGCATTTTTTTTTCATCCCAAAACACATGACAAAAAATACTAACATGATGGAAGATTTTTTATTTTTGATTCAATAACTACTGCATTACTGCTATTATTACACAAAACGCTGCTCAATGTGTCTTCTGCATTTGACCTATCCTTCCAATGCACTAAGGCCTCTGTCAGGAGCAGTGGTCGCCGTAGTGCTGCTTGGCCGTCTGCTCTGCTTGGTGAGGATTACAATGGAGGATTCTACCAATTATACATGGCTTAAGTGGTAGCGGAAACTAGAGGAAAACTACACTGACATGGGGAGAACATCCAAACTCAACTCAAAAAGTCCCTGTTTCGACTGGGATTAAAACCCAGGGCCCAGTTGCTGAGAAGTGCCTAGTGTCCATTCAGTCACTGTGCTGCCTTCATGATGAGATGGCAAAAAAAAGAGGCACACACACACGCACTCAAACACACTCATATGTAAATGCAACTGTTAAATGAATAGATATGTCCGGTTTGTACAACCCCAAATAGTTGGCGTAGATGTAATTACAAAGCTGGGAAAGTCAAAAGGATAAAATAGAGCATTGTGCAGTGGTTAACAGATTTAAAGGACAAAAGGACATCAGCCAAGTTCACGTGTAATAAAAGATAGTGCGTCTGAGATAGTCCAACTTTAAATCGAATGAGATGAAATGTGCTGAATCACTCAAGACCTGCTGCTGCTTTTATTTAGTGCAGACAGTATGTAAGCAGACAGCTCCGTCTGAGAGCGCTGTGTTCCCCTTGCAGGTGAGCAGACCGGTCCAGCATCATTTAGAAGTACTGTGGCCTCAGGGACTCTGCACTCACACTCTGGGAAGCACATGTGCCTCACAGCAAGAAGGCCGCGGGTTCAATCCGTGTGGAGTTTACATGTCATGTGTCTATGTGTCTGTGGGTTGCCTGCAGGCTCGGGTTGCCCTCATCAACTCAAAACATCCACCACAGGAATATCCTCCAGCAAAGATACTGTAGTCATGACCCACCCGGGGATAATATATTGTAAATTCTGTGGGCGGAAAAAAATGCCACTGTCTTATACAAAACAGTTGCTGTAAATGAATAGTAAACTAATAATACAAAAAAAATTGAAATATTATATACTGAACTGAATAAGAAAAAGCAATCATAGTTTTTGCTTCCAGATAGCAAAGCTGTACTGTAGTCCAGGAGTGTCAAAATCATTCCAGGGTTTCATTCCAACAATTTTTCTTATTATAAAATCATCCGTCAAAGTGATATAATTCCTCAAGTTGAAACATATCCAGAGTTGTGCAAGTCACTGCTATCCATCTCTGCTCTAAGTGGAATAAAAGGACTTTGAAAGTGCACGCCCCACACTCTAACACAGGCAGCGATGTCTATAATGTCATTTTTAATTGTGTAACGCTTGTTAGGCTGTGGCAACATTGTGGTTGTAATAATAGCTTCTGTCAGGGAAGTAGAGATAGCAGGAGGTGGGCAGGTGGCCAGCTGGTGAGATAGGCAGCCATGGGTCAACCGCTGAGGGTGAAGGAGAAAGCTGTTTGATGGATCCTGAGCTGGTCCCTGTCCTGTAATGAAACACAACCTCAGCCTTGTTTCGAGGTGCAGGTGCCCGTGGTCGCTCCAGCTCTCATCACCACTCCCATTGTTTTTTATTGTAAGTATTGTGCAGTGTCGACAATCCCAAATGACAACCAATTATCTACTCCGCATTGTGATTGTGGAGTGGCTGAAACGACTTCTTCCATTTTGCAGCTAAACGAGGGGAAGGTATTTTGTCGGAAAAGGCACAGGTAATGATAACAGGATCAGCCGATATTGTGTCTTATATAAAGCAGCAGCCAATATGTCGTATATTATAGATTTGAGCTCAAGAATAGGCAGCCGGAGTTAACAGCAATATGTATAGAATGTTAAAATCATTTTAGGTTAGACACAATATTGTTGGCGCTTCCTTTACTGCATATAATAAACCGCAGAATAACACACATCCCAGTATGAGGCATTTATTGTTTACGTTGCAGAGTTCATCAAATGTTCTCCCCCACTGCCCTCCCTCAGATTTAGTGCTTACAGTGTTTTTTTCCGCTTTTGGTCCAATAACAAAGGAATGTACTTTAATTCCCTGTTTACTCTAATTAGGGGAACATTTACATTTCATTGGTTGGCTTGTATTTCAACCCTGCTGTCCTATATGTCATAATTATGTGTCTTACAGACGATCAAATTTAGGCACTGAAGCTATAGATTGTATTAATTGTATTATTTATACATTTTAAGCTAGCCGTGCATACTAAACAGCTCATTTACATTGGCCTTGTTTTCCCCTATTATTAGATCCAAATGAGCTTGTTAGAATAAATTGTGGCACTGAATCTGTACCAAGGTTGAAAGAACAGCTGTGTATATTGTAAAAATAGTCTTTAGATTTGTGTGCCATTCAGATTTGAGTACCCACCATTATCGGCAGAATGGCAATTGTTTTTTTATCAAAGCCTAAGCATTAACCTAAACATGTATATTTGTAATAAAATGCATTAAAAAGGTGCTTCAAGTTACTTTTTATTCACTCTCCACTCAAAACTATAAGAGTCATTGACCTCTCCAAACACAGCAATCACTCATCACTCTTCGGCAAGGTTGTAAGGTGTTTTAATATGCATTAAATCTGAACTGAAGGTAAAATACAGGAATAATTAAAGTACATTTAAAAAAACACATTCTGCAATATTTTAATAATACACACTTTACCATCGGCTTACTTTGTATTTATGATTCTGGCATTAACTTCTACCTGTTGTAATGTGTAAGTTTTTAATGTATTATTTTTCATTAATTTTCTTAAATACCCAATTAAAGCCACTGTAGGCGAGATTTGAGGTGGTTAGAGATCTGAGTGCATTTTTGTGGTCGAAGCATCTGCTTCATGCCTCATTGGGGTCCGTATTGATTGGTCCAGTTCCCCTTTGTTTTCACTCCTCTATTTTTGGTCTTCTGATGCAGCTCTCTAAAACCCGCTGGCCTTTGCTAAAACTGCCCTAACGGCTACAGAAGCCTTTGGTAAAATTGCTTTAAATGGCCAGACAGACCGCGGTCGGAAAGCGGCGCCAGGAGAGAGGGAGCCCTTTGGCAAAATGTCTCTGGAAGGTCATGGACGCGCTGGTTTAAAAACGACTATGTAGCTCCCAACTCACTGCAAACTACTTACGTTTATTGCAATTTGCAATATTCACAAATAATAATCACAAAACTGGAAAAATATGTTTTGTGCATTTCTGGGTTTAAAGATGGATTACAACGACATGTATCTAGTTTTTCAGTCTCAAAACAGTTTTGTTCGATCACTGTGCATAAAATTTTTTCCTCCACATAGTTAGATAATCTTTTCCAGTCTTCAAATTCTAAACCTAAATTTGTGGTAAGTTGCATAAGCAAAGTAAAATATTGTGTACAATTTTCCCGGTTTAGTTCTAAAGTATGAGAACTGCATGATAAATCAGTTTGCTCCCATGTTAAAGGGATGCTCATCACTTTTGCACACTCGCAAACCCCCTGATAAATATTCCCTTTAAACACATGCTTTCTCTATTTTTCTCTTACCATTACAGGCGGGTGAATAATTTGCAGTGTCAGAGCGGAGACATAGTCCATGCGCTTCTGCATGGGCTGTGTGTCTCGCTTCCATCCATTTACTCTTTTCTCTGTGAATACGAGGCGGATTGTCGTCGAATAAATAGGTTTTCTGAGCTTGAGACCAGTTTAAAACGAAACTGTGGGGCGCAGCCATTGTCTCCTCTGTGCATCTGCTTTATGTATCCGTGCATGCACCTACTATGACCTCTACTCGAAACATAAAGGATAGCTGATTGTGTCAGTGGGAAAAGGACCTGTAAAGAGGACAAATGAAAGACATCTGGATCCATAGAGATGCCGATGGGCTAGTACAGAGTGTGGCTGAAGGTTGTCGTTCTTGGTGTCATGGTTTGATTGTGGAACTTTAGTTTTACTTCCTGGTTGGTTCTGTCGATTGTCTGCCCAGCCCGAATGTGTTTCACCTGTGTATCTCAGTTAAACGCCTTGAGCTCTTTCTCGCCTGTGGTCAGTCCATTGTGCGTATTCCCCTGTTCTACTTTGTCCCCTGTGTGTACTGGACTTATTTTTGTGTCGGAACCTTTTAGTGAGAGGTCCACTTTAGTTCAAAAAACTTGACAATATGGATTGCAAAACTGTTTTAAATGGATTCAGGCTGTTCCGGGCCTTTAAATAGGGTATGATGGCCATATTGATTCACATCATAGCTGCATTTGTGCCATACTTCTATGTAATTTTGTGACACGATCAAACACAAATGTCAGGCTATAGATATGCTTTAATCAATTGGATACAAACGATTCTGATCTTTACAATGAGGTTCAGCATGATTATATAGGTGGAGCTGGAGTTGGCTCAATCTTAAAAGCATCAGTGGCATATAGTAGTTACGCTAATGTAGTTTTAAATCTTTTTTGCGTAAAACGTTTATTTTGCCGTAAGCCTGATTGCCTCTCTACAGACTTGACCTTTATGATTTCCATTGATATACCAATTTCATGCCAACATTTCAGAATAATAAAAAAGTAAAAACACATACACGCTATAATCTTTCCCTTGAAGATGCCACCAACCACCTCGCACCCAGATCCGATCCGTCTTCTCCTTGTTCCATCTTTTGTTTGTCGAACCACACACAGCGGCGTACCACCCCACGCGCGGCTCTCACACGAATATGCAAGCGTGAATGACAGCGAGGAAGTGTTGTTTTTTTTTACCACTCGTCTCCGCTGCTTGTGCCGGAGGGGGACGAAACATGGCGCCAATCCCCAGCTCGTTTAACACTATTCTGTCTGCTGTAACATGACTCAGCGCTCACAGCGGTGTTTGCGACGAGGAGTGGGAGATAGACAAAACCAGCCAACGCACGAGCTGAGCAGGACAAAAAACAACCACATCTTTGATGGCTTGGATTTTGTTTAGGGTTATACTTACTGCTTTGACTAACTAGAATGCTGCCTGCAATGTGGAGTAGACAGAAGGATGTCACTATTTAGACATCATTTTGTTTGAGATGTATGTCATTCATACATTTGAGCAGAAATAGTAGCATTCATCATGTTTTTTGACTCGAGAGAATCAACACATAAGACTAAGGTTAAAGTACCCTGTATTTATCCCTGTTGGCCAATGTGTCCTCTGCATTGGACCCACCCTGCAATGCCACTATGTTGAAGATTCCTTTTTATTAATTATCGTTACCTTTCTGACACTAAGGCCATGGGTGGTGACGGCCATCATATCCAACAAATCACTCTTCCATGTTCAGAGGAGACACTTCATTCTCGATTGTGTCTTGGATTTGAATTCTAGCCTCCCCTAAAGACTCATGGGCTTCCCATAAGGGGTCTCTGTGCCTGTTTCCTTCTCTGAATCAGGGTGTACCTCAGTGGTCTGAATCTCAGTTTTTTTCCCTCCTCTTTTTGCCTTTCTGGCCAGAGGAAAGTTGACCTGGACAGCTGGAACTACTGAGACTGTATCCACTAGTGTGGCATTAGGCACAGACGGAGGTGCTTCTATAACAGACTGAGGTTCTCCACGACTGGGTCTGTGTGGTGAGCATCAGACACCAGACTGTCGTCCACAGGAGTCTCAGCCTCAGCCTGTGTCACACTGAGCTGCTTCTCCATCTGCAACACTCGCTGCAGGTTTAACCTCAAGTCCTTCGAGACCATGTCCTACTGTGACTGTGACGATGCCGCCATGAAAAATGAAATGTCCAATTGTTTTCACATAGCTTTACTCTCAGCTCACACTAACAGGCATAACCGATATATTGTTTACTGTGTATTTATTATCTGTACACAACATTTTTTAAATATGTTTTTTCCTTTTTTGGACCATATTCCAAAGAAAATTCCTAGTTTTTGACTTCCTGCTACTTACTATTGAAATAACAAATATTCACATTGTGATTCTGCTATTAAATTAAATATATAATGTTTTCAGTCAGCCCCAGCTTGGTTTAAACATTTCTTTGAAGGTTAGACTGCAACAATAATCAATGTGTCCCAGCAAAGCCCAGTGCCACAACTCTGGCCAGTCCCAGACGCAGCAAGCAATTACCACAACAACATACCAACCATGCAGAGCACAGACTAGGCCACAACAGGCCACAACAGGCACAAAAGAGCCATGTTTGAAATGTGCATTCTTGTATTCAGAAGAAGTGAGGGGTTTGTACTGTTTAAAAATGAATGATCATAAAATAATTGCTAGGAACAATAAATAATCATGCATACATTAATTTGCTATCCGATGCCATTCTTGGCACAATACCCAAAACAAACGTGATTTTAATGAGCTACATTTCAACAACAGTGGCCCTAACTGGCTATATATAGAGGTAATGACTTGCATATATCTGGCTGTGTTTTTTCGATCATTTGTTCTCACTCAGTGGATTTGAGGACACTGTGCCACAGGCTATTGGGACCAAGTGTCTGTTTTCCAAAATACATGCATGTACTCTATATATAGAGATTCATTCATTTAGTGAGAAAGTAGGGCAAAATATAGACTTTGTCTTGTAGAGGCAAGTAGGATTTTGCATTCAGTAAATTTTATTTAATGAATTTACGTAAATAATATCTATTTCTAAAGGGCCTTTCACAGACCAGATTCACAGAGCGCTTTACAATTGTGGGCATTTGTCTCTCACTCCACACAGAGATGGGAGCGGGGTCGCCAGTACAGGAGGCGAATGCCAGACCTATGGTACATGTTTTTAGTGGTAGGGGAAACCGGAGTACTACGCAGACACGGGGAGAACATACAAACCCCACTCAGAAAGGCCTGTTCAGATCTGAGATGACGCACAATAAACATTAGTCTCAAAATATAAAATCTATCATGTGTCAATTGTAGACAAAGATTCTAGTTTCCAAATACTACCTGCAGGTTGATGATATATTGACACTGAGAGTAATGGACATATAGACAAAATGTCCACACTAATCATGGGCAAAAATACCAGCAAAATAACAGAAACAAGGTATAAATAATATATGTACGTTACTTTTTTCTCATTGTCTCTCATAGTTGAGTTATAGCAATGATGAAAATTATTGGCAAATCTCATCTGATTAAGTGGCAGGACTTGCAAAATTGGTGACCGTCTAAATACGTTTTTGCCCCATTGTACTCAAACTACTTGCTGCTGCTACTTGAATATAAGCTACACTGAACTCTTCTCCTGTGTTGGTTTTGCAGTTTGTCCCACTCACTGACCCCATAACTTCCTGCCTGCATATCTCCAAAGATCTCACGAACCACTTGAGGCATACTTATGAGCACGCATCCGAATGTCAACCGAGACATCCTCCCTATCGCGCGCACTTGAGCAGGCGAGACAGTGGCATTAGTTGTGTTCAAGGACTCGAAAAACACTTCAAGTCGGTCAGGGTATGGGGGTAAGCAGGCGTGGGGAGGAAGGCAAACCTCTGGGCTCTCTGTTGGGACGTCCAGAGCAGACAAAGCCACACATTTTGTTTTTGTTTTATATAGACTCAGAAGTAGCTCTCCTTCGTTCTCCTTCACACTCGCTTCCCCGGTTCCTCCCTCTGCCTCGCCGGGTGTCTTTTGAGCTTCCAAAACCCCCCTCTTCATTCAGCGCTTCAGAAGTTGCGGCGTACCTCGCGGCAGACACATCTCATGCACAAGTTGGATGACTGACAGTTCTTACTGTACTGTACATGTAAAAATCACTCTCGGATTGAATAAAATATGGTTTAGAAATCTCCAGCTATGAGGCAAAGTTTGACAAGTGTGGTTTCTACTTGATATTTGTTAGAAGAGAGGTTTAAACATGTGTTGTATGTGATTTGTTTTATTTTTTTATGGAGATGATAGCTTTGTTTGACACTCAACTCATCTGTCTGTAAATAAAACAAGTGGCTGACACCTTCAGGCCAATTAAGTTAACAGGATTAGATATTTTGAGGTGTGACCCTTCGTTATTAGAAGTATGTCATAGTAATTGACATGCCACAGTTTTAAATTTCAAGGAAGCTAAGTTTAGTTCCAGTGGGTTGCCTTCTGTTACGCTTGAAAAAAAGTTTAATATGTTTATTTAATGAAAGCCCCTTGAGATCAATAATCTCCTTTTCAAAGGGGTCCTTAACACAAATACAAATATACACACATGTAAACATATACACTTACATACACAACAATTTACAGAGCATTAAGGATAAGAAAAGTAAAAAACAAATGCTCCTTCGCACCCCACTCCTCCCTCAAAATAAAATATTTAGAAAGAGATAGTAAAAGTAAAACTATTAACAATAACGATGCACATACAGAATACAGAACATTAGTGACATAAACAAGGAGTATTAAGGAACCTAAATAATTCAAACATCAAACTTAAATCGAAGAATACAAATGGATATACATACATGTGGATTTTTTTTCTCTTTTTAGTTATAGTAGGCTGGTCGTACCACACCATAGTACAATGAGTCGTTAGCATTTAGCATTTAGTCTAGCCATCTCCTGCAAACGGAGCCCGTGGGCAGTAGCGGCACAATTTTTTCCATTACATTTGCTAAACAGTACTCTTGCTCCGGCCTCAATTTCTTGATAGAACCAGACCGGATTACTTTACTATTGCATTCTTCTCCATTGCCAAACTACTACCTGCCCGTTCGACGAAAACTCTTGACACCACCCACATCTAACTACAACACCCACCTCCCACGCTCGCTGATTTGTCGGTTGAAATTCAACCGATTGTAATCGCTAACATGGGGACCAGACCCAGACGTTACATGCAGTGAAATGATGATTGAGCGGAGTGTACGGATGGCTAAGGACAGGCTAGGTTATACGGCTGTCCGCAAAAATTTTACCTGTGGCACTAAATCACTCTCATTATGATGACACAATCTTCATTATATATTGGCTGTGCATTTTCATTTAAAGCTACTGTTATCAGAAATGGTTCTATTATTCTGAAAAGCCTCACTCCAATTGCAAAGACGAATGTTCCAAATAGAAAACAATATGTCATAGGGAGTGATGATTAAATATGACTTCTCAAATAGGGACAAACACAATGCATTTAAATAGAGTATTGACAACATAAATTACACTGTTGAGTTGTCATGTTGGAGATCAAGCTGTGGTGTGTTTCCGCTTGTGCGACAATATTGATAAATCACTTTTTAACTGACTGCGGCGCTACCTTAGCCGTAATGGTTATCGATAAGGCAGTATATTCTCAGTCGATCTCCGGCATTGTGTCCCGCTGTCTAACCCACGACAACAGATAACGGCGCGAAGCCCAACACATGCATTAAAAAGCAGCACACACAAAAAAACCACACATCTCCCACGCCTTTTCTAACCACAAGTGTGAAATCTAATCATCGCTGCAGCCCACAATCATTTCTATCTAATCTGGCAACGCACACATGGCTGACGACAACAATGGCACCAACTGCAAGCATTATCTGTGTCGCTTAAGCAGGCGGCCTATAAATCCTTATATCAGCAAATATTTCAGGCCAGAAATGACGACTTTTGAGGTGTGTGCATAGGGTAGGCAATATTATCAAAAAGTTGTGAATCAAAAACCAAAATGTGAAGTGCAATAAAAACATGAAATTAGCACATTTTACAAACATCCGGTAGATTATTAACACTCTCGTGAATTCCCTTCTTGTTAAGCCAATGACTGACATAGTTGTCCTTCTATTTATTGTCTACATAGCCTTAGCGAAAGTAATTATACAGCTTGAACCATGAGCGAAAATATTATATAATATTATATTCTACTGAAATACCACAACAAGGTAATATTGTAGTAACTATGAAGTGAAAGCAAAATGGTACAGTGTTAATTCAAAGGAAATCAAAAACTTAAAATTGTGGTTTGCACAAGTAATTTCAATTTAAACGAAAATGTTATGTCTAAAAGTAACAACCTCTAAAAGTACAGCTCATAGTAGTCACCCCATCCCCTCTGTCAAAGCTGGTGGTGGGAGCATCATGTTGTGGGGCTGCTTTTCTTCGGCAGGGACAGGGAAGAGCGGCAAAGTGGATGCGAAGGTGGATGAAGCAGAAAAAAGAAGGAAAATCTGTTGGGGTCTTCAAAAGACTGAGGTGGATGTCTTGTTTACATTCCATCAGAAACAAAACATACCGCAAAGACTTGTTGACTGACCCTTACCTTTGTCAACTTTGTCAATGAATCCAAAGTACTGCTATTCTGAAAATTAAACCGACTATTATGACTCAGGCCAGAAAAGTGAAAATTATTGCCTCAGCATTTTCTAACTCTTTTTGAGTGAAAGTCTGTAGCAACTGGGAGTCCTGTGGCTAACCCTTGCTTCTGCACATACTTCCTTGTCGACGTGATTATCCAGTCTGCTTTCTTCTTCTGCAGCCTGGATATCCTGCTGATGTGCAAACCCTTATGTGGTACTAGAGTTGGGTTTTTATCATTTCACAGGCGCTTTACCCAGATATAATTAAAAAAAATGTAAACTGGAAAGATTCTCGTTTTCATGGTAGTTGCAGTAAACCTGAAATAAGCCTCTTCAAGCACTTCTACTTGTACTTTACACTCTTCCTACCTCCTGCTGTTGCCTTGTACGTCTCCAACCACATCTCGGCGGGGTATGGTTGTTCCAATATGGCCACCGCGCTGAGCTTCTCCTCTACTGTACGC